CTTAAGTTATGCTCCGGAAACTGGTTTCAGTTCTAAGGTAATAGTGTCCTTTGACCTTGTGACCCCAAAATCAATAGGGGTCTTCTACCCAATATGGACAATCATCTAATGAAGTTTTAACACTGTGGGCCAAATGGAACTTAAGTTATGCTCCGGAGGACGGACGGACGTATTTACGAAATGGTACTTATGTAACTTTTCCTTTGATCTTTTTAGCCATTTTAAGTCACACAAGGCTTAAAAATAAATGAGAAGTTTATTACCTTACATAATTTTTACATAAAAATAAAACAGTCTAAATTTCAATGCTTTAAGATTTTGCAAGGGGATATACCAGCCACTTAATTGTGATTGGCATTTATGTTAAATTAGTTTGCATTTTTATTCCACGCCAAAAAGGTGCAAAATCATTATTATTCAAAGGGAATTTATATTTGTGGTTTTCATGGATAGGTCCCAACATAATTTCATTTCATCTGCTGTAAGATTAGTTTACATCACATTATGTACATATTACCTATTTGAAAAAAAATCACGTAGAACACACAGAAATGTTCTTTGTGACAAAATCACGAAATTTCGTGCCCACAAAATTAGGTGAATTGACAGTAACTAGATTCTCCTTAAAGTACCTTGTGCTTAATATCTGTGGGTAGTCAGACTATTCTCTCCCTTACCACTTCCTCCCCTGACGTTTCCTCCCTGACGGTTCTCTCCCTATTTTGGGGAAGAACCGTCTGCATATTTGCAAATAAGCAGACAGTTCCTCTCCATTGTAATTTTTATTAATGCATTATTATTGAAGTATTCAGATGTTAAATAATGGGTAAGTTTAATATAAATTGATATGAATTAGAAAAAAATATTTTTAAAATTGAAGTATTAAGATGTTAAATAAATAGGTAAGTTTATTATTAATTGATAAAAATGGGAGAGAAAAAAATATTGTATTGAAGTATTCAGATGTTAGACAAATTGGTAAGTTTATTATTAACTGATAAAAATTACAAAAATATATTGATGTATTAAGATGTTTAATAAATTGATAAATTATTATTGATATAAATTAGAAAAAAAAATCATCGAAGTATTTAGATGTTTAATATATGGGTAAGTTGATATAAATTAGAAAAGAAAATGTTTTAGCATAATAATTAATTATTCTGATTTTTTTAATCAGATCTAATGTATACATTTTTTTAATGTGTTTAGTCACTGAAAATAATTAAAATGAATCATTTACTTGATTAGGATAATCATTAGGTATTAACTATATTGTGTTGTATTTATTTTATTCATTATTTTATTAATAAATAAATAAGAATAGAATTTATAAGAAAAAATGATTAATTAATGCATTTTTATACCCAAATGTCATATTTTTGTATAATGAAGAAAGTTGTTCAATACACATGTGCATTAAGTTTGCTGTCAGAGATAATTAAGATGTTTATTAATTCATTACTCAAGAATCAATGTGTTGATTAGATTAAAATAGCTGTGAAAAGATGTTGAGGACTAAATATTTTTAGTAATTATTTGGTCTTATATATTGTTTCAAGTGAAAGTCTACATTTCCTTTAATCAATTTTGTATAAAAGTAATTGTGAAATGTGTTTGCATACCAGTTGTTGCTTATTTATTTTCTAGAACATACTTGTTACCATGTTATTTGCTATTTAACAAATAAATAAATAAATATCACTAGACCTTAACATAATTACAGGTGTATATCAATCGCTTTCCAGTTATCTTAATCTCTCACAATGAAGGTGTTGATAGGATTAAAATACCTTAAAAGGGTGTTAAATTTACAAACACTTTTCAGATAAACATAAAATGCACTGAACATCAAACACATTCTTTACATAATCTTCATTAAGAAATGTTAAATATTAGATTAAGTCAAAACTAAATGATAACTTATAAAAATAAAATTGGGGGAGAACTGTCTGCTTATTTCAAATTTGGGAGAGAACCGTCAGAGGAGGAAACGGTTTGGGAGAGAACCGTCAGGGGGAGGAACTGGTAAGGGAGAGAATAGTCTGTCATTCCTATCTGTGTCCGCTGTTTTTTTTGGTCGGAGCCAAAATTTAAAGCATTTGGGATATATCAAGACGGAAAACGTCTGGTCGTCTAGGCTTCTATTGTAAACATAATTTGTGTGGTAGCTTAAGGTCTTCAGCATACCCATTTATACTGTGACAGGACAGGTGCGTATTAAACTCCACATCAGAGAAAAATGTTAAACCAAAGGGCCAAGATGGCCCTGAGTCGCTCACCAGAAACAACAGCTTTTATCCATTGTCAATATTTTCTGATATTTAATTTGAGCCAATCAAATTAATATGAGCAAACTTGATAAAAGACTACCTAATGATGCTACAAAGTTTGGTGATCATCTATCAATTATTTCAGTAGGAAATGATGTTCAAAAGTTTTTCTTTTTTTGGCTTAAGTGGCTCCTAAAAGGGGCCAGTCAAATTAATATGAGCAAATTTGATAGAAGCGCACCTAAGAATGCTACAAAGTTTGGTGATCATTCATCAATTAGTTCTGTAGAAATAGACGTTTAAAGGTATTTCTATTTTTAGCTTTAGCTGCCCCTTAAAGGGGCAAATCACAATAATATGAGCAAACTTGATATCAGAATACCCAAGAATGCTACAGACAAAGTTTGGTGATCATCCATCAATTAGTTCTGTAGAAGAAGACGTTTAAAGGGTCTTCTATTTTTAGCCCTAGAGACCCCTTAAAGGGGCCAATCAAATTAATATGAGCAAACTTGATAAAAAGCTACCTAACAATGCTACAGACAAAGTTTGGTGATCATCCATCAATTAGTTCTGTAAAAATAGACGTTTAAAGGTATTTCTATTTTTTGCTTTAGCTGCCTGTAAAAGGAGCCAATCACAATAATATGAGCAAACTTGATATAAGACTACCCAAGAATGATACAGACAAAGCTTGATGAACATCCATCAATTAGTTCTATAGAAGAAGACGCTTAAAGGTTTTTCTATTTCTAGCTCTAGATACCCCTAAAAGGGGCCAATCAAATTAATATGAGCAAACCTGATAAAAGACTACACAAGAATGCTACAGACAAAGTTTGGTGATCATCCATCAATTAGTTCTGTAGTAGAAGATGTTTAAAGGTTTTTCTATTTCTAGCTCTGTTGACCCCTAAAAGGGGCCAAATGAAATGACATGAGCAAATTCAGGTGCGACTGTCACAAGGATGCTACAGACCAAATTTGAAGTAAATCTGCCCAGTAGTTTCAGAGGAGAAAACGATTGTTGACGCATGACGACGGACGCCGGAGTATCCCCCTTTGATACTAATAGCTCACCCTGAGCCTTCGGCTCTGGTGAGCTAAAAAGTGTCTTACAAAGTTTTGTAAGCTAGAACTAATTGTGTGGCAGGTACTCCAGATTAATATGGATAGATCTTCTTGAGAAAAAGTCCAGTACAAAAGAGTAATACCTTTCATAATTTTAAGTAATTATCATTTTTCTTGCTTAATTTTTGTCTAGACCACAACTAAACAAGAGCCACTGCCAGGCAGGGGCAATGCTCGACTTATTTTACTTTTTCTAAAAGCAAACAAATAAACAGTTTAAACAAATCTTTAAAAAGAAAATAAAAGAAAAGACATCAACTTTTTCGTTCTAATATTAATAGGTCTGTCTAGTAACACTTGTTTTGTCCATGGCAAGTACTAATCCTTTACATACATCATGTGAAAATAAATGACAGTGGATACATCATGTGAAAATAAATGACAGAGTTAAGAAAATATGATCAAAAATCAATCACGGTCCATGTCATTTAAAGGTCAAGACATTTCTAAAAATGTAAATTACTCCACATGTCTGTTTGGTAAAACTCACAAGTGTTGTTTTGTTTACATATGAATCAAATCCATACATAAATAACAAAATTATGACAACTTAACCAAAATTCAATAATTTGACTTTGACAGTCAATGTCATTTTAAGCACAGGGTCAAGCTCAGTTGAATCCATTTATCAATTACCAAGTTACAGTCAATTTCAGCAAAAATCAGTGAAAAATCTTCATTACCCTTCATTGTCAAGATCAAGGTCAAATTGAGTTTGATATACTTGAAGGTCTTATCCTAAAGAATATCATGTTCTAATATAAAGTCAATCCATTCTATATAAAAGTTACATACCATAACTCATTTAAAAGCATCTGAGATATCAACTTGCAACTTTAAGCATGTATGTGAAAATATTTCAATAGAACAATAAATAGTTCCTCCATTATTTATTCATTATTGCCCGATTTTTTCTTGCTTTATTTTTATCCCAGGCTATAGCTCAAAATGTTTTAGAGATATCAGCTTGGAACACTGCATTGACGAACTAAGCTGTGTGCATTTTGAATATTACCCTTTGATTAATGTGCAGATGAGCTATCCTCTTTTCACACTTTTCTCCATTTTGGCAAGGCATTTAGCAGTATGTCACTCATCAGATTCTTGAGTTGTATAAGTGGAGTGCTGCTCTAAAAGTTGAGGAAATCATTGCCTCCCCAGTCCCACCCCTAACTTTCTGCTTGGGTGCCCCTTCATGCATTATTTCAGACACGAGCAGGCACCCGAGTAAAACCAACAACGTTTTGTGAGCTACCAGGATAGCACCCTCACATGGAAGAATCCAAATTTCTTGGCAGGAATCAAAACCAGACTTATAACAGGTAAGTGTGTGAAGCCAACAACCTTAACCATACAGCCATGAAAAATATTAGAAATTATTTACATATTAAATGTGGAGAGTAACATTATTTCAATTATTGCTCCTCTAAACTCTGAGCTATAGGACAAAATCAGCATAAAACACATTGATTGTTTGTCATTCATATTCCGTAATTTTCTACACACATTTCTACTTTTGTTTCACAGAAGTTAAAGGTGTAAGAAAAATAGGAGCAGAATTAAATCTTTTTGGGAAGTATAAAATATGAATTAAAGTTATGAGAAAAATAGGTTTAATGTCAAATATTTATTATATACATATATAAAAATAAAACAACCTTTTGCCATATAATCACTACAATGTAAAAGTACATGTAACTCTAAAGTCAAATAGCTATATCATTATATAATTATGTTTAAATATGAAACCTGTACAATAACTCTCACATGTTAGTTATACACTTAAAACATTAAATTAATGGTCATAGGTCTGACAAAAATCAATGTACTGGAAAATGCCGGCGATATGCACAACTACACTTGGTACTGATCATTTCTGTAAAGTTTGGATGAAATTGCTCCATTAGTTTTGTAGTAGCCAGGACAAGTTTTGTGACTGACGAACAGACCAATGACAGAGAGGTTATCCCTATATGTTGCTGCTACTTTATAGGGAATTCTAAGTATTAACAGTTAACTACTTATTTTTTACTATTTATAACTGGTGTATCAAATAACAAATAGTAGGTCAGTGAGTCCCCTGGGTCAGAGCCAATTTTGACCCGAAGCCTTTAATTTTAACAATCTTGATTTTTTTTTATGGCAACATTTTTTTAGTTATTGTTTTATGTATATAAAGAATACTCGTGACTCCCAGTGCATGGCTTATTTTGACCCTAGGGCCATAATTAGAACAGTTTTTGTAGAGGTCCAGAATGTTTCAAGCCAAATATCTGAGCTTTAATCTTTGAAGCTTCAGATGATAATTTTCCTAAAAGATTTTATCATATCCACATAATGAAAATCTATTAGCCAAATATCTAACCTTTAGCCTTTGTCATTTCAGAGGAAAAGGTTTTTAAAGTTTTCACTATATACTGTTAACAATGTATTTTAGACAAGAAGATTTTTGAAACTTCTTTTCTGACCCTTTTACCTAATTATGCAACAGACCAGAACCATATGAACAACAGACAGACAGTTGGACAGTTTAATAACTAAATGCCCAGGGGGGGGGGGAGGGCATTAAAAATCAAATATAATGGTCAAGGAATTTAGGAAAACTGTTTTAGTTTTAAAATATGCATATATCTCAAACATAATATAACAAATGGGTGTGAGCTATTGAAGATAAAATACTTGAGACATCACAATGAATTAAATCTTCCATGCTTCTGTTTACCTTTAACCTGCTGAATTTCTTAAATTGACTTCTTCAGCTAAATTTTTTAAAACTTTTCATTATCAATTTTTGGGATATCAAGATGAAAATTTAAAGTTAGTAGGCCATGACAGACGGACACGCACGTTGGTCTGGCTCTAAACTTGTTGCATTGACAGTTTCAGTTCCCGCAGGTTAATGGTTAAAAAAGCCAGATTACTGAGTATTATACTACTAAAAATTGCACAATAAAAGACAAATAAGTTCTACTGCAAAGTAATAATTTTTTACATATTTTTTGTGAATATCACTATATTTATATCAATTCATGATTACATGGATGCTTTTAAGTCAGAAGCAAAATCTAATAATATACGGCACTAAGTTTAATTTTGCCCTTCAAAATATTCAGACTAAGTTGAAACTTAAGAATAATGTAATCCTTAACTTACACTAAAATATGCAGATTTAATTTAATAACAACAACAAACAAGAGGGCCATGATGGCCCTAAAGTCGCTCACCTGTATATAGGCCCCCGGAGCGGGGCCAGTTTAAACCCCAGTGCTTTTATTTGAACAAACTTGGTAGACACCCATTAGAAGATGTTTCATGCTAAACATCTAAGGTGTAGCTTGTTGGGTTATTTAAAAGAAGATTTTTTCAAGTTTTTTTTCTTTACAAATATAGTTAAAAACAATGGCACACCTGGGGCAGGGCCAGTTTTGACCCCAGGGCTTTTATTTGAACAATCTTTGTAGACACTTACTAGACAATGTTTCATGCTTAATATCTGAACTCTAGCTATTCAGGTTTTTTCAAAGAAGATTTTTAAGTTTTTGCTATACACATATAAGGAAAATCAATGTCCCCTGGGACTGGGCCAATTTTGACCCCAGGGCTTTTATTTGAACAAACTTTGTAGACACTCACTAGAAGATGCTTCGTGCTTAATATCTAAACTCTAGCTATTTGAGTTTTTTCAAAGAAGATTTTGTAAGTTTTTGTCATACATATATAAGGAAAATGAATGACCCCGGGGCAGGGCTAATTTTGACCCAAGGGCTTTTATTTGAACAAACTTGGTAGACACTCACTAGAAGATGTTTCATGCTTAGTATCTAAACTCTAGCAATTTGTTTTTTTTTTTCAAAAACGATCTTTTAAGTTTTTGTTATAAACATATAAGGAAAATGAATGACCCCTGGGGCGCGGCCAATTTTGACCCCAGGGCTCTTATTTGAACAAACTTGGTAGACATCCATAAGAACATGTTTCATGCTAAATATCTTAGCTCTAGCTCTTTGCATTCTTTAAAAGAATTTTTTTTAAGGTTTTTTTATATGCATATAGGGAAAATCAATAACCCCCTAGGGCGCGGCCAATTTTGACCCCAGGGCTTTTATTTGAACAAACATGGTAGACACCCATTAGAAGATGTTTCATGCTAAATAGCTTAGCTCTAGCTCTTTGGGTTCTTTAAAAGAAGATTTTTTAAGTTTTTACTATATGCATATAGGGAAAATCAATGACCCCCTGGGGCGGGGCAAATTTTGACCCCAGGGCTTTTATTTGAACAAACTTGGTAGACACTCACTAGAAGATATGTCATGCCAAATATCTAAGCTCTAACTCTTTGGGTTTTTTAGAAGAAGATATTTAAAGTTTTTTTAAATGGTTGCCATGGCAACCAGAGTTCTGCATGGAATGGAATTCTTTGAAAAACTTTGTTAAGGTTTCATACAAGGAACATCCCTGTGAAGTTTCATTATGATCGGCCTTATGGTTTCAGAGGAGATGTCGTTTTAAAAGTGTGAACGGACAACGGACGACAGACTACAGACGAAGAGTGATCCTAATAGCTCACCCTGAGCATATGCTCAGGTGAGCTAAAAAAACTGGAATAACATAAAATATAGCACCCTTGCAAATAATATACATTATCATATCGAGTCATATACATGTATGAAGTTTGATTGAAAATTTCGTGAATGATGCACCGAGGCAACACTCGTGTTACCTTACAAAAAGTGTCTGAATCAAATTGTATCTGCTGTGGTCATTCTCAAAAATGATCTTTAACAGTAATGACCTTCTTGTAAATTGTTTGTTCGTTTGTTTCATTTTACGCCTTTTCCCAACAGTATTTCAGTCATATAGGCGGGTAGTTTCCTAACCATCGTTCCTGGAGAGTTACACCAGTACCTTCCTTCGCGCTAAACTACCAAAGCATCTCCCGGGGATTGAACCCACGCCAGAGAGGTAACTGGATTAGAAGTCATCGACTCCAACCCCTCGATCACGGAAGCGGTAAATAATTAGCTGGTTAAAATATCTTAGCAGCAGTACGCGCTTATTGATTTCTTTTGATTTGATTTATCATCAGATAATATTATCAGTTTACTTTCTGTGTTTTGTTCAAGCCATAAATTTTTACAGATTCGGCCTTACTTTTGCGCAATTCCTGTGTTAATGGATATACACAGTGGAATCCTATTGAAAATACTTTTTTCAATTCATGTACTAGTATTGTTAGTCTGAAGTTTAGTTTAAGCAAGTGATACTTCTTACACGACAACAAAACAAAAATAAATGATTAATTACAAATTCCAAACCTTAACCCTATGAATTCTATGATCACTAATTCAGAGAGATATAATACACAAGTCAGATACAAATTGATAGAAATGCATTATAATATATTATTTGTGTTAATGACTTTACTTAACTTTTAATTACTCTATCATATACTATATACAATGTACATATATGATAGACAGACAGCATTGATTCAGCGGCACTCAATAATTTAAAGTATAGAAAAATGTAAGTAAAATACCTTCTTAAACATTTGTTCAATATCAACTAACAACGTAAGCAAAATATAAAGTTTTATATAATAAAAATGCAAAAGAATTTATATCATAGCATAAACTCAACATTTTATTATATGCATATTAAAATCCATGTACATTATTCTTAGGACATAAATGACTGTTAAAGGTATATTGTTATTTTCATAAACTTACATTATGGTCGTTTTGGAAGGATTTTTAGCATAGAAAGTTTATATTATCTAATATACATAAACAGTAAAATAATTTTGTTACCATAATTTTATCATTTTATGGCAGATTCTACAAAAAGTTATCACATAAAATGTTTCTATTTAACACATGTGAATATTGTATGTATATTGAATAAAATGTCCTGTAATGTATTTTTAAATGTATCAAAAAACCTACAGGTATATACTTAGTACTTAAAATATGTATTTAACAAATTTTCAAATAAAGTACCCCAAAACCCTTGATTTTACTTTTAATTAGCTAATAATTTAAAAACAATTCATGTTCTCAAGAATCTCAAGTATGCTTATCATTTCTAACACATAACTTATAATTTAAACTAACAGTTCATGTATTTACAAAAGTCTTTATTCTTTTTTGTCTCTTTTTTAAATATGCTATCTATCAACATTATTTAGTAATCTATCTAAATAAAATTAAACTTAAGAATTTCCTTGAACACATAAAAGACAATGTTCGGTGAGGTACAGAATTGGAAAACCAAAAGGGAATTGATAATAGGTTTCATTGTTTATTTATTAATTCATATCTTAAAAGATTAATGGATAAATCAACCGTGGTTATATAAAATTTGTTATACATGCTACTGATGGGATTTAGAAAGGCAACTTGTCTCTCAAAAGCTACATGTTTACCCTCATCAGGAAAATAACTAATATCATAAATAAATACATAATTGAGCCGCGTCACAACAAAACCAACCTAATGCGTTTGCAACCAGCATGGATCCAGAGCAGCCTGCGCATCCGTGCAGTCTGATCAGGATCCATGGTGTTCGCTTAAAAACCCTATTACAAGTAGAGAAACTGATAGCGATTAGCATGTATCCTGATCAGACTGTGCGGATGCGCAGGCTGGTCTGGATCCATGCTGGTCGCAAACCCATTATGTTGGTTTTGTCATGGCGCGGCTCAAATTTTTTAAGAATTAAATTGAAAATCAACTTTTGTGCAAGATTTGAGTTAAAAGCATTTTGACATTTGAGCCGCGTCACGACAAAACCAACATGATGGGTTTGCGACCAGCATGGATCCAGACCAGCCTGCGCACCCGCACAGTCTGATCAGGATCCATGCTGTTCGCTATCAGTTTCTCTACTTGTTATAGGGTTTTGTAAGCGAACAGCATGGATCCTGATCAGACTGCACGATTGCACAGGCTGGTTTGGATCCATGCTGGTCGCAAACGCATTACGTTGGTTTTGTCATGACGTGGCTCATTTTTTTATTTATTGGGTCATTTTGCACAATAAAATTGATCATTCTGAGGAAAAGGAGTGAGATCTGAAATTTAGCACACAAGTTATAGTAAACAGAAAATAAACCTTATAAATATTGAAAAAATATTTCCTATCCTATTGCATAAAAAAAGGTCAGTTGAGTCCCTCACTACAGCAGGTTAAAGGTGAAATAAATGACTTATAAATATTTGTGATTCTACAGAATACAATATGGAATTAAACAAAGATCATAATTTATCACAGAATGCTAAAAACAATGAAAAAGCTAGATGATTGCATATATGAAACAGCCAATACAATATTTACTTTTAATATTATGCTCCAATGAAAGTATAATGCTTCTACTGTACAGTATAACAATCTAGTAGAAAGAAATGGCACAAAATAATCATTAATCTGCTTATTAAGGGCAGAACAAAGATGACAGACTTTAAACACACTGAACTAACTTTTCTGTACCTATTCACTTTTCATTATTCACCATTTGCGTGTTTTATTCTATAAAATAAATTATCAACATTGAGAATTTTTAAAACAATACTGTCCTTTATATGCTAAAAGTAAAGACTGTTTTCTAAACAATGAATATTAATGAAAGCACGGAATGCAGGAAATTGATCACACTTAAAATAGATTGCATGTAGAGTGATAGCTTGTACAATGTGATAGATTTAATGGTAACCAAAAACATATCTTATCAATCTGTGCAGGCAATATAAACCTAAAAACCATAATTTTAAATTAACTTCATCTGAACATCTTTCTATTTAACTGCACAAGGTATGAAATAACATACTGTCATAAAAACTTTTACTATATAAAATGACATTTTAATGGCAAGTTTAAAAGGAATGTTTAGAAACTTTATATCAATTATCAATTACATTCATATTTGTTTATACATATGCATATCTATTTGTATATTACTACTATTATATAAGAGGTCCCAATTGAAACTTTCCCACAAATTTATACAGAAAACTGGATACTTGAATGTTACTGGTTACATTAAAGCCAATAATACAGGTGCTATTTGTATAAAACCGTATACATATAAAAACCAGGTCAACAAATCTCTTTATGTGATGAATGCTCATATACTGAGAATATTTTACGTCTTCTTGATATAAAACTGTTTGAGAAATGAGATATGATTGTTCAGGATGGATTTCTGTGGAGATTTTTGTTTATTCTGCCAATGGAAGTTAGAAAACACAGTCCTTGCTGTACGCTGATTTCTCGAGTGATGGCATCACATCATCTGTCTTCAACTGCTTGTAATCTTTCGTGTTAGGTCTTCGACCCCCTTTCCCAGACTTACCCTCTATAATAATGGAAAAAATCTGAAAGCAGAAAATTGGAATTAAATAATATAGTAATGTAGATTAAAATAAATGTTAGCATCATTCATTTAGTATATATCATAAATTTTAAAATAAATGAATTAAAATAATTACATTAAATTATTTTAGAAAAAATATATCTGGTGTACTGGTTGGGGACTACCGAAACCGGACAACCATCAAACCCGGACGGCTCCGAAAATGCTTAATTAAAATATTTTTCTTTGTTCATTGGTTGTCGATCTATCAGTCACTTTATAACAACAATAAATGCATGTTTCTTCTATAATTAAGTAATTATATCTATTTCAACGGTAATATTTTAATGTCTATTTCAAGGATGTTGACATTGAAAATTTGGGGGTTTAGAGTGCAATACCTGACCTCAAATACCAGCTATAATCATTTGCACAGTAAACAATAGAATATTCAAAACGTCAGCGTTTGCTGCTGAAATATTTGTTTATCATGTTAAAAATAAAAAAATAAAACACCCTAGCATTTAAATGAATTAAATCACATCATGTACATATCTGTCCGGACAGTAGACAATTAACGTAATTTTGATACCCTCCTTGACGAGCCTCAGATACAGTGTCAATATAATCAGAAATAAACAAATTAGTTTGTTAGTTAGGAGGAGAACATAGCTGTACTGTGTCCAATTTTCAGGTCTCTGGGTTTGAAATTATGAAATCTTTATGAAAAAATGTTCAAAAAGTGTCCGGTTGATGGTCCCTGACCAGTATATATTACATTGAACCCTAGATTTAAGTCAAGGTACATAAATATATTACATTAAATGCTAGATTTAAGCATTGGTACATAAGCATATTACATTGAATGCTGATTTTAGTATTGGTGCATGAATATATTAAATTAACTTATAATGGAAGGTCGAATCTACAAGATTGTCATGAAATTATGGCCCTGGAAAAAAGCCCAGGGGAGAATTTCAACATGTTCATTTTGTCATAATATATAACCAGAATATGTATAATGCTCATAAATGTATTTAAATAACTTATCCTAACATCAATTAACAACAAATACAACAAATTTCATTTGTTTCGAATACAGGAGGATAAGAGTTCAATCTTGAATCTGTACAATGTACAACAGACATGGAAATTGTAAAACATGCACCCCTTGCTTAGTACCCAGAAACAAATGTTTTATGTCTTGTGAAAAACTGGGATAACATATTTTGGTGTTCATAAAGAAAGTTGTAATGCATTCTTCAAAAATGAACCTTATACATGTATATATAAGCTGAAGCTGCCTGACCATCCCAAAGGCTTAAAACAAAAGCATAACGACATGATAAAAAAATAATTCAACAAATGTAAAGTCAATCGAAGTTAATGATTATAAAAATGCAAGCATACATTGTATACATGTATATCAATGCATAATTATTATTACATTTACAGTTAGGTTGTTGTTGTTTTTTTTATTCAGGAAAAATGATTATAGTATTGTTATTGGTGAGGAATTTTTCTTCATCAATAGGATAATAATTGTTTCACTACCCCTTTTTTGCCTACTTATGTGATATTTTCATCATGTAAGCCTACATAATTTTAAGCCATTTTGATTTAAAAGGATGTTACTCACACTGAGTGTGATATATTCTGACTAGAGATGTTTTGCTTTATATCACTGACTAGAGATGTTTTAAAGCAAAAATGATAATATAATTTGAAAAGGAGTCATTTAGAAAGTGTACAACAACAGATTGATGTTTATAACAAACTGATTTAATGATTTTCATTACATTAAGCAGACAGATTTTAGAGAGACAAACATTTCAAAAGATTCTTCTTAACAGTTTTCATACAAGAATAAATACATAACTGATCACAGTCAAAATTTATATATGTCCATCTTTAAGTTTTTATTAAATTTAGTTTTAATTTTAGTAGAAGCTACATTCTTAAATATCTACTACAATTACTAGGATAAAACCCGCAACAAGGCTCGTGAATATGCCAATATTAAAACTACAAAAGCACTGCTAAGAAAAGCAAAGATGAAGAAGATAGAGAATAAAACGATAAGTAAATGTAAAGACAGAAAGAACTTCCAATAAATTAACTTACAATATCCTTGTAATCATGCCGACTTCTTCCCTTAAACTTATTTAAGCACAATAATTATGATTAACTTTATAAACTAACATCCTGTTTAATTGTTCCAAAACAATTTATTTAAACTTATTTTAGCACAATAATTATGTCTAACCTTATAAACTAACATCCTGTTTAATTGTTCCAAAACAATATCAATTAAGTGTATTTTGTATAGCACTGATGCCAATGTGATCATAGCTGCTTTCTTTATCTAGATATAATCCATATCACTATTTCACATAGACCACAATTGTTACATGAAAAAGGTTATGTAGGTGAACATAAATGAAGAAACTAGAACTATCACTAAATGTGATTAATACCCCTGCAAGACTGCTTCGGAAAAGAGGATGTTTTTAGTAACAGAATACCTTGTAAAAGAATTGAAATAGAGTTATGGTTGTGGGCAATTAAAGATAGTTGTGGTTCTTGTATGTTGCATTTCCTTTCAATGTGGTTGGCCATTGATGAAGTTTTATTGAATTACTCTGTAATAAGTCCAGAAAGACAAGGAAATGGAACAAAGGGCAATAACTCTATAAATATTGAAGATTAGTCAAAATAGAGTTATGGTTCATGTGCACTGCACTTCATCTCACTGCCCTTGACCATTGTATGAAGTTTCATTGAATTCCAACCATTAATTTTCAAGTTATGCACTTGACAATAAAAAGTAACAAAGGGCAAAACTTTTAAATGAGTCAAGAAAGAGTTATGGTTTCTATGCACTGCCCTTCCTCTCAATATACTTGACCATTGTATGAAATAGTATTGAATTCCAACTAGTAGTTTTCAAGTTATGCTCTGGACAAGAAAAAAGCAATGGAAAAGTAACAAATGGCAATAACTCTATCATTACTTGGGACAGAGTTATAGTTCTCCTGCACTGCACTTCCCCTATTGTGCTTGATCATTGTATGAAGTTGATTTGAATTCCAACCAGTATGTTTTAAGTTATGCTCCGGACAAGGAAAAGTATCAAAGGGCAATAATTCTGTAATTTGTCAAAATGGAGTTATGGTTCTTGTGTACTGCACTTCCTCTTAATGTGCTTGACAACTGTATGAAGTTGCATTGAATTCCAAACAGTAGTTTTCAAGTTATGCTCCGGACAAGGAAAAGTAACAAAGGGCAATAACTATGTAATTAGCCAAGATTGAGTTATGGTTCTTGTGCATTGCACTTCCTCTCAATGTGCTTGGCCATTGTATGAAGTTATATTGAATTCCAACCATTAATCTTCAAGTTATGCTCTGGACAAAAAAGCAATGGAAAAGTAACAAAGGGCAATAACTCTGTAATTAGTCAAGATTGAGTTATGGTTCTTGTGCACTGCACTTTCCCCTTATTGTGCTTAACCATTGTATGAGGTTGTTTTGAATTCTAACCAGTTCTTTTCAAGTTATGCTGCAGACAAGGAAAAGTAACAAAGGGTAGTAACTCTGTAATCAGTCGAGATGGAGTTATGGTTCTTGTGCATTGCACTTCCTCTCAATGAGCTTGACCATTTTATGAAGTTATATTGAATTCCAACTTTTAGTCTTCAAGTTATGGTCCGGACAAAAGAAAGCAATGGAAAAGCATCAAATGGCAATAACTCTGTAATTACTTTAGATAGAGTTATGGTTCTTATGCACTGCACTTTCCCTTATTGTGCTTGACAATTGTATGAAGTTGTTTTGAATTCCAACAAGAAGTTTTCAATTTATGCTTCGGACAAGGAAAAGTAACAAAGGGCAATAACTCTGTAATTAGTCAAGATGGAGTTATGGTTCTTGTGCACTGCACTTCCTCCTAATGTGCTTGACCATTGTATGAAGTTATATTGAATTCCAACCATTAGTCTTCAAGTTATGCTCTGGACAAAGACAATGCAACGGACCGCTGGACAGACCGACCACTGGGTGACTCATATAACCCCCCCCCCCCAAACTTCTTTTCGGGGGTATAATAATATAACAGTTCAACAACAAATCAACTAAACATATGAATAGGAGTAGTTTATAAATAAGACAGATACTGAGAGAATATACTCACCTTTTGTTTATTATAGAATACAATATAGCCAGCAATAGAGAGTACAATAAAGACAAGGAAATATGCCATGAAGTGACCTCCTGAACTCTCATCGTCATAAACGGCTTGACCCATACTCACTACCTCCTCTGTAAATATATAATTTTATTACGTGTACATAAATTTATTCAACATTTAACATCAACATAATCAATTGCACCAATATGATTCCCCCTAAAGACAAATAGTTGGTTTGACATGAACATACTGGCATCTATAATACCAACAAATAAAAGTGTTATTATAGGAGTACCTTAATATGTTACTTGTATTTGGCTCTCATGGATTTTATTAGAACAGATCACACTGTTAAACCGCCTCATGAGATCCAGCCTAGTGAAATCCACTTAAGGCAAATCCAGTTACATTTTTACCAGTGCCAGTTAATGATAATGCAGTATCAATGTAATGTTTGATTAATTATAAATCATCTTGTAACTTAACTATACTGTGACATGTAGTGCTATAGCTAACTTCCATATTTTCACTCTATAATATTGTTGACAATTGAATGCCCTACTTGAAACAAAATTTTTTTTTTAAATTATATAACAATTGCATTGTATCATATCAAACTTTTACTATTTTATTTATATGCTATTTGATAACAGTACATTATTGATTAAATGTAAGAAATGTATATATTTTTTTAAATAATAGCTAAGAAACCTAATGTTACAATGTATGTCACACACAAATATCATCCATAACAATATTAATTTAAGTTGTGTGTCACATGATTTAGTTAGAATGTATAGACAAGCTAGGATTATGATGAAAGACTAACTAATTGATTTATCTATTACCTGACACAAAATAATACATGCTTTAAAACAGATGTCAGTGTATATATTTATATTTGTTAAATGTGGTTCATGTTTGAACAAGATGAACCATTTCATTAACTTTTACCTGACAACTTATTAAATTCAACAAGATCATAATACATACATGTGTGAAGCCATCTCTGACTTCTATATTTCTAACTAAGATTCCAAAACTTCAACAATAATAACAAAAGCCCGGTTTGAGCCGGGTGATGCTCCCCGAATAGGTTTTGGACACAGGAAAGTACACCTCTTATAGTTTCAGAGTTATGTCCCTGGAAAAAGTTCAAAGTGTAATAATTTCAAAATTAGGCACGACAGAGAAACGTTTCTTTGCACTGCACTTCTAATCAATGCGATCTATCAACCTACAAGTTTTCTTGTTGATACCTCTTATGGTTTCCGAGTTATGTCCCGGACAAAGTTCAAAATGTAAAAATGAACAAAGGGACATAACTACAAAATTTGGCAAGGCTGAGATCAAGTTCTTGTGCACTGCACATCTACCTATTGAGATCTATCTACCTACAAAGTTTCATGTTGATATCTCTCATAGTTTTACTGCTATGTCCTGGACAAGATTTTTCTAAAAGAGGAGATAATTCAAAAATGAGGCTTAACAGAGTTATGGTTCTTTTGCACTGTACTTCTACTCAATGAGATCTATCTACCTACAATGTTTCATCTTGATATCTCTTATAATTTTAGAGTTATGGACAAAGTTCAAAGTGTTGAAATTAACAAAGGGCAATAACTCCAAAATTAGGCAAAAAGAAGTTATTGTTCTTGTGCACTGCACACCTACCCATTGAGATCTATTTACCTACAAGGTTTCATGTTGATATCTCTTATAGTTTAAGAGTTATGTCCCGGATAAGATTTTTCTATAAGGAGAGATAATTCAAAAATCGGGCAAAATAGAGTTATGTTTCTTTGACACTGCACTCCCCCTCAATGCCCTTTACCACAGTATGAAGTTTAAACAAATTATCTCCAAGGGTTTTCAAGTTATGCTCCAGGCAAGACAATGGACGGACGGACAGACGGACAAGGTGGCGACTATATGCTCTCCCTTCGGGAAGCATAATAAAAACATATAAAAGCCTATACTTGTAGTTACCTTAGTTATACATTTTATTGTGAATACAAACATTCAGGCTAGACATCAGAAATGATTGTGTTGAAGCAAATCTAGATCTAGCTAATGGTAAACACGGGTACCAATTATTATGTCAGAATCTTAAAATAAGACATTTAGCCCTAAAGTACATTTTAATACTCTGACAACAACTTCAACATCACTTTACTGCACTCATCAACATGATATGATCTCTATTCCTTAAAACTATTCTAACAACTAAATTTATGTAACTCAGTCTGAAACAAGAACGTGTTTGCTAAACACATTAATGCCCCCACTCATATTCTTGTCAATAACAATTTTTCAAACAAGGAGGCCATTGACCCCAAAGAGCTCACCTGAAGACCGACTTTATTTGTGTAAGGGCCAAACTTAGAACAACTTTGGTGCAGGACCTATAAATGATATTATATAACAAATATCAAAACTTTAAGCTTTGTACCTTCAGAAAAGAAGAATTTTTCAGTTTTTACTATAAGTACAAAATGAAAATTAATGACTCATCCTCCACCCCCCTCTCCCTGGCAGGGCAAATTTTGATTGAGGTCCACTACAAAATGTTTGATTCCAAATATCTAGCCTTTGTCAATTCAGATGAAGATTCTTTAAGTTTTTACTATAATCATACATATAAGGAAATCCTATGACTCCTGGGGCCTAGCCAATTTTGAGGGGCAAAATTTGAAGAACTTTGGTAGAGAACCTACAGATGATATCATACACTAAACATCTAAGCTCTCTGCCTAGTACCTTAAGATGAATATTTTTGAAGTTTTTACTATATACATAAAAGGAAAACCTATGACCACCAGGGACGGGCCAAATTTGACCCAAGGGCTAAATTTGAACAATCTCAGTAGAGGTCCACTATACAATGTTTCATGCAAGATACCGAACATCTAACCTTTGTCAATTCAGAGGATAAATTTTTTGTTTAACGTTTTTACTATCTATACATATAAGGAAAACCTATGACCCTCCAACTGGACTAATTTTGACACAATTTGAACAACTTTGGTAGAGGACCTATATATTATATGCCTAATATCTAAGCTATTAGCCTTGTACCTTCCAACAAGGAGATTCTTAAAAAAAATTACTACATACATAAAAGGAAAACCTGTGACCCCCAGAGCGGGGTGAATTTTTTACCAAGGGCAAAAATTTGAACAATCTTGGTAGAGGTCCACTACACAATGTTTCATGCAAAATATCTAACCTCTAGTCTTTATCAATTCAGAGGTGAAGATTGTTTTATGTTTTTACTATAAACATATAAGGAAAACCTAAGACCCGAAGGGCTGGCCAATTTTAATCCCAGGTCTATAATTTAAACAATCTTGGTAGAGGGCCACTTCAAAATGTTGCATGCCAAATATCTAACCTTTAGCCTTTGTCAATTCAGGAAGAGAAAAAGTGTAAAATTCTATATTTAGCACTGGCGACCCTGACCCAACTGACCCCTTACTCCATTCAAAGGAAGTAAATTTCTCAATTTACTTGCCCAGATACAAATTAATCTTAAGAAAAATGCAAAACTTGTCATTTTAAGTAAACCTCGTACAGACGGACGGTTCAATTACAATATGCCTGGGGGCTTTAAAAGTTAAGTTACTGTTGTAAAACCAATAAAGCAGTGATTAATATAGCCTTGGTGATTTGTACAATTAACTTACTATGTTTTGATTGTTCTGGTTTCTGATTCTCCACAATTTCATCTGAAATAAATATAAAATTGCAATCATTTTCTTTTATTTAAACTTAACAAAAAACTAACAAGAAAGTGTTAGTTAAACACAAATGCCCCCGGCTCAGATTCTTGTCAGTAACAATTTTTCAATAAATGTTTATCCATTCACTCAGTTAACTTTGAACCCAGGGACTCCAAACACCATGCAAACTTAAAGGACCACCTTAGGTATGTTCCTTGTAAATATGAGACATTGGTATAAAAAAATACGTAAGGCTGTATAAAAAAGTGTAAAAAAATCTTTTGTAAGCATAAGTGACATTGACCTTGTGACTCCCAGCACTGGACCACCCAAGGTATGTTCCTTCCTAATATGAAAAACATCAATCTATAAATAAAGGCTGTTACAATCAGCCAATGTGTAAAATCTATTTTGGCACCACAGTCCTTGACCTACTGACCCCTATAAGTAGAAGACCATGCAAGATATCTTCCTAGTAATCTGTCCATTAATAAAGGCTGTATGTTCAAAAGAGTAAAAATTGATTTTTAGCACTGGTGACCTTGAACCAGGTGACCCCGAACTCCATCCAAAGGTGTAGACCTCAATTTTATGTTCCTACCAAATATTAAAGACATTTTTAATAAAATTAGGTTAATATACCTGTCCAAGTGTAAAAGTCTAGTTTTGACATTGGTTACCTTGGCTTTGACCCAAATGACTCCTAACTAAACCGAAAGGAAGAAGACCTCCCTTGGCATGTCTGACATGAAAGTCATCAAATTAAAAATAAATACTGTATGAGCATAAATATTTTTTTACACCAGTGACTTTGACCTTGACCCTAGAAACCCCAAACTCCACAAAAGAAGAGAGGACCATTGAAGATATCCACCAACTACAGTAAACTTCGCTTATAACGAACTCACTGGGACATTCAAAACCTGTTCCTTATATCCGGAGTTCCTTGTAAGCATATAGCGAATTAGTTCGTTGTATCAGGAGTTTTTATAGCGAATAGATTTACATATAACGAACTGATTGTTTACCATTGTCCGCCAGTTTTCAAGAGAATTTGATTAAGAAATAGAAATATTAGTCATTTATTTATATTTTAGACACACTACCCGAGAGCGTACTTTTTGGAATTGGAAAATCATTGCTATTTCAGTTTTAGTTTTACTCCTTATCTCAATTTCACATAAAATGTAATATTTTGTTTCTAAACTATTTTCGTTTTCTTTCCATGATTGAGAATAAACAAGATTTTCGATTTTTCCTTCCTTTTATATTGAATCTTCTATTATAATTTAAGGGTGACTTTTACTAATGTAATATATAGATTTCTTTTCATTTAAATCAAGCGTACTTTGCAGTTTGCAATGGATCATGCTTGCAAGCATGCATGATTATGTTGAAAACCGATTATAAATTATCATAATTATTTTACTGGAGCAAAACTATTGAAGAAAATTAATAAATAACCGTTTTATCTTGGTGAAAACAATTTGCCCCAGTTCAATGATGATTTGCCATATTTCTATAATCATCGTGGCACCATGTTCTTTCATTTTACTTCAAGAATGTTTTAAAAATATCCAAAATAGAAAACTATATTCATATATAATTCATTTGAATAGATGTACTGAAGTACATACAACGATAAACGGTACATCCGCCCGAGTTTTAATCCGTGCGAATGAAAACGAAAGTTGAAAAGGCAGGATCTATTTACGGATAGCCAATATTTTGGAGTTCGTTATAAAAGTGTAATTTTCAGTACTATTAACTAAATTAGGACTAAGAAATGAGTTCCTTACAAGCGATAATTCCTTATAACCGTGTTCGCTATAACCATATATTTTTATATTAAATAAAGAAGGCCAAATTTCGGGCCAAAACAAATTGTTCCCTATAACCGGAAGTTCGCTATAACCGTGTTCGCTATTAGTGAAGTGTACTGTATATCAGATATCATTAAATAAATTAAATATATCCATCTTGCATGAATAGAAAACCGATAGAACTTAAATATATCCTATTTGCCAGTTAAGGTTAACCATATTCATTTTCAAAGTGCTGAAAAGGGCAATTACTTGGTAAAAATGGGAGCCATTGTTATGTTACTTGCCTAGATCATGTTCTTTGTATTGATTAGTGTGTAAATTAAGAGTCATTGATACAGGTAGAACTTAGAAATAATCCAACTTGACATTTATGGTTAACGTCATATGGACACAGTCATGGTTCAATTACTATATGCCCTGAGGGGCATAATAAGAATAAGTTAGGTGTATTGTTTCTTAGTTAAATGGCATGTTCAATCATAACAATGTAGTGTAATGTATGAAATTTTTAATTTTCATGTCAAACTTTCAAAAAATATATTTTCCCAGGTGAAACAAAATGGGTGTTTCATCATCATATTATTGCACAAATGAGTAATCTTTGTAGGTTATCAAGTAATCAAATCTTTAGTATTCAAGGACAGTACCTTCTTATTATTTAGCTTATTATTTCTGGTATATTGAGATATTCGCTAATTGTCTGAATTTTTTTCCAACTGTTCAGTAAAAATTTCATGTAAGGTTTAAATTTAGTATCACTTAAAAAGTGTTTGAGCAACATACTGAACACCATATTCCTGTATATACCTGACAAGACTATTGTATGATTATATGCTTAAATATCATCGTTTCAACCACCGAAATTCAAATTGAGATGGCTAAAAAATCTCTTAACACTGATTTCTATAGGACCATGAATAAATTTAAAATTGGGGGTATCAAATTTTAATTATACGGCATATTGCGTAATGTTCTTTTCAAATTTTCAGTAAATAAACTTCCCTTTGTAAAAAGAAAAAGGGTGTTTATAAAACTGCACACATGAATTATTTTTCAAGGTTATCAAAGTTATAAAATCTTTAGAATTTAAGAAAACTACCTTCGTTCACATAAATATTAGACAGGGCTATTAATTACCTTTGGTAGTGATGAGAAAGAAAACAGAATTTACCATTGAATGTCCTGTAGTGATTTCAAGATAATTAATTCAAAAACTAAACACCTCTTTTCTTACACTATATAATAAACATAGGTTAGTTATTTATATGGGTAAAATAACTCTACAGCACTGAGGACTCTATCATCCCGACAAGAGATTTAACTGCTGAAAAACAAGAATAACACCTCTTTTCCTGAACTAAATAATAAACATAGGTTAGTTATTAATATAGGTAATATAACTCTACAAGCGACTAAACTGCTGAAAAACAAGAATATTCTTTATGCATACAAAAAGCTGAGGAAAATTATTGTAAGTCATATAATTACATTAAGTTTCAGACTTAAATAACAAACAAAAGGATGCTTAAACAAAACACAAAATTCAGCATATATTCACAATAAAGATAGTGAACACAGCAAACATTAACATCTCTTAGCAGCAGTGCTAATATAGTTGTTTGAATATATAGGGAAAATAAAAGAAATTGTGACCGCTGGAATATATTCAAATACTCACATATAACAATAACATACTGAATTGTTTACTTGCACATGATTAAATGATATAAACAAGGATTTATAACAGAGTAATCTTTCATCCCCTGCCTGTGTGAAGTTTTACATGAGACACACAATAGTTTTAGGGAAGGACCTTGACATTCACTACAAAAGCTTTATCAAGGCTATATCTGCACAAGCAATTTAAAATTTGACAGGAATTATGGCAAAATATAAAGTGTCAATAGAGCAGTTTTTATCTCTGAAAATAAGTACATAAACTAAAGGGGAATAACTTGAAAATTATTTAAGATGCAGTTAACTTCTTTTGAAGTGCATTCCCTCTCGCTGTTATCTTCTTATATTTTAAGTATCACAAGAATCTCTCTAATACTCTTAAGAGTGATTCCCTGGACAAGGAAAATACAGATCATGTTATGCTTTGACCTTTAGGTGTGACCTTGAGCTGAGTAGATTGTGTCTCAGTGGTACACTAAATATGGTGAATATTTGTGCAAACTTATTTCAAAATCTTTTGATGAATGAAAAGTTGTGTACCAGATACATAATAGGCCCTATAACAGACTATGTTTAATCCTGACTTCTTAGTGCCACATTGACCTTGGAGGTAGAGTTCTGGATAATGCACTTCACACTGCATCTTATCAAGGTAAACATTTGTGCCAAGTTTTTTCAAAATTCCTTGGTGGGTGAAAAATATTATGGACCTGACATGAAATATAGCCTCCATGAAACAATGTTGACCTTTTATCTCCTTGACCTTGACCTTGGAGGTTGTGGTCTGGGTGTTGTACATGGCAACAGATACAAAAGATGATTCAGGTAAATGGCCAATGAGTACTGGTACTCTTTTTGGAAACTATAACACTGTACAACAAAAATAAAAAGCTTTGAAGAAATAAAAACAAAAGCATTTCTAGGGCATAATGAGCCTTTAATTCTGAGTATATTTTTAAATTACCCTTTGTAGATTCTTTTTTATTTTAAATGCTTGAATTACGCAAGATTTTTTACCTCAGTGGAGCTCATTTAAAATATGATATCTGCCAAATCACGACATAATGGGCCACTGCTTTAATAAAATATCAAACATTTTCTTTTTTGTAATCTAAATATAATTCATTTATGCATAGAGAAACTCCAAAGAAAATACAGAGGTAAATTTTATGACTAATGAACAAATTTACATAATCCAAGCCGCAGAATATATATTATGTATTTATGTTTTAACATAATCCAAGGCGAGGAATATACATTTTGCACTTATGTACTATTATAAGCAGTCTAACTGATTTTGTTTGTTTAATAATTTAGCAAAAGTGTAAACAAAATAAATAGGATAGTTTGCATGAAAACTTTGGTATATGAGCATCTAATAATATATTTTTTTAACATCAATCATCAAACCAATTAGTGGCCATTATATATACATACTTTATAGTTACTAAAAAGTGCATACAACCCATCAAACAGATCATAGAACATTAATAAAAACACAGGTAATAATAATTATAATATAGAAGTATGTTCTCTTTTGAAACCTTCATAGAGCATGCATGTATCACCCTGCCGCAATGATACAACATCTAATATAAAATGAATCATTTCAACAATTTATAATACTGATATTTTAGCTCTGCCTCATGTCAAAATATGCATTTTCTCTTTTTATAAGTAACTTAATTATTGAATGATTATATGTTATTGTATATAGATAAATAGATCTAATTGAGAAGCATTGGTGATCACGTGTTGCTCGATGGCGAGATACCTTTCTTTATTACTCAATGTAAATAAATACACTATTTCAAAATGAGCAAATGATTACATGTTTATCAAAGCATTTTTCTTAATAAATTTTAACAAATGCTTAAATGTATAAAGTAATCATAATATGAAACAAGCAATTATCATAGTATTGCAAGCAATCTATAAGTCCTCTACATGTGAGAACCCCAGCAACATTTTGACGTGCCATTGGCCATTCAATTTAACCAGTGAATGAATGACATAAATGAACTTAAATCTTTTGAGTTCTAAGTTTGTCTATAACATAGTAATGTGTTAAGTTTCCCTGCCTTGTCTGGAAATTATGTTTATATAACAGATAATCAAAAGGTCCAATTTTCTCAAGTTGAATAAGTATAACTAATGTTTCAACTTTTCTCTAATCTAAGTAAATTTGTTGGAAAAATCAGGTCGAAACTGTTTTTATGAACAGACAGACAGACAGACTGAAGGAGACTCTTAAGTTATTTTTTTAAAAATCCCTGTTACCAAAATATAACATGATTAAATACAAAATTCTTAAAGAGGAGATAACTCTTGAAATAACGATGCTAGATTTATGAACATTGATAAGAGTTTTACTTTAAGTTTAAAGATCCATTTATAGTCACAAAGAAGATAAGTAAAAAAAAACAATTTTCAAATATAGCATTAACTATTATGTATAGTAAGTTACAAAGATGAGAATTAAAACAAAAATATAATGTAGGTGTTGATATCATGAATGTTTATTTTGAATTTGAAGTAAATCCATGAAGAGATAAGAAAGTTAAAGAATGAATAAGAAAAAATCAAAGTTTAAGGAGGAGGTAATTCTGGAAATATGGATTCTAGATTTATAAACCTTATCATATTATTACGATGTGGAATTTTAAAGTAAATCCTATAAGGAATGAAGAAGTCGGAGTAAAAAATACCAATTTCTCGAAAAAAATCTAAGTTCAAGGGGGACATAATTCTAGAAATAGTCTTGCAAGAATATTATACCTTCTCACAAATGTTGAGTGATAATAAGAAACATATATATGAAGTTTGAAGTAGATACATTAAGAAATAAAGAAGAAGTGATTTAAAAAAGACAACATTTTTTTCATAAAAATTCTAAGTTCAAGGGAGGTAATTCTGATAATTTTTGTGCTAGAGTTGTAAACCTTGTCATATATTATGTGGTTGATGACCAGAAACTTATATTTTAAGTTTGAAGTAAACACCTTAAGAAATAAAGAACTTATAGTGAAAAAGCGTAAAAATTCAAATCAGAAATCTGGAAATTCAGTCTATTTGTTGCCATAGCAACCAGAATTTTCAACATAGGAAGAAAAGAAAAAGATGTGCATAATTTACAGACTGTCATCTACCCATATTTCAAGTTTCAAAAAAATATTTTCAGTACTTTTTGAGTTATCACTGGATCCAATTTATGTGTAAAATTCGCCATATTTTCAGTCTATTTGTTGCCATAGCAACCAGAATTTTCAACATAGGAAGAAAAGAAAAAACTTTGTACAAAAAACAATATAAAGTGTAAGAAATGAAATGACAATTTACCTTCATCATAAAAATATGATTCATCTGTTGAAGACGTTGTTGGTGCTAAATAGAAAGAAACATGTCAGTTTAGATTAAAAGTTACAAAAAGCTTTGATAAAATCTTTAATGTAAATGTTAGATTTAAGTTTTTTACAAATGAATTACAATATAAGTTATTAATATACAGTGTCAATCTTGTTTAAAATATCACAAAAAAACTGTAAAGAGTATTTACATAAAACATGATTTTTCTACAACAAATAAAATTCAAATTTCATATAATTTATTATGTCTTTGACAGTTCAGGTAAATTTAAGGTCAAGGTCAGAAAAAAAATCATGTATGTTTTATCATATGTGTTCTTTTGAAAGAAATCTTTAAGTATGACAAGTCAAGCAAAATTCAACAATATGACCTTGGTGGTCAAAGTTAATTCAAGGCCAAGGTCATATAAAAAAATTCAACATATTGGTTTTGTAATATGTTTTCTTTTGTCCAAAGTATTAATGGACCTTTCCGGTTTTTCGTAGCGGAATATTTAGCCATACCCTTTCCATTCATTGCTAGGTTAACTATTCACAAACAGTATCACAAACATAACCATGTGCTCTTTTGTGCAAACCAGGGTTTTAAGCACTGACTATGTATTATCTCAGTGTAGCAATTGGATAACAAGTTAGCAAATTTACATAAAACTGTAAACACTGAAAAGGTTCATTAAATCTGTAAGTAAAAAGGTAATGGCAATTTAACCAAATTTTCAAAACATGATCTTGATGGTCAAGGTCAAACAAAGATCAAAGTCATATCAGAATAATTCAACATGTCCATTTTGTCAAGTGTGTTCTTTTGTCAAGTAGGAATGATATCCATAAATAAACAGTAAATTTCAATAATTTGACCAAGGTCAAATAAAGGTCAAGATCAAATTTGTACATTAATCCAGCAACGCTCGACTCTTCTTAGAACTTGATAGTAAAAAGCCTTGATAATGTAAAATTTTCTAAGTAAACAAAAGGGTAAAATTTTTCTTTAAATCCATTTTACAGTTATAGGCCTTGGAGAGAGTCCTATTATGCTCTCAAAGAAGAGTATAAAATTTCAACTTGTTTCAAAGCCATATGTCAATGGACTTTGAAAATATTTGAGGTATTACAAAAACTTTAACGGACATTCTAAGTCAAAAAAGGCGCACAATTCTGTCAAAATATTTGATACAGTTACCTCCTCCTGTCTACAGGTTGGGGTCATGATGGTTAACAAATGTGCAAAGTTTCAAAGCTATAATTATGTCAATGGACTTTGAAAATATTTAACGTATAACAAAAACTTTAACGTAAATTCGAAAAATCGAAAAAGGGGCATAATTCTGTCAAAATGCTTGATACAGTTACCTCCTCCTGTCTACAGGTAAGGGTCATGATGATAAACAAGTGTAAGTTTCAAAGTCATATGTCAATGGACTTTTAACTTAAGTGGTTAAGCTGACGGTGACTAAAATTGCTCTACCTATTCTTATCGAATAGTCGAGCTAAAAACTTGTGAAATCAAAATAATATTAACCTTCAATGTCAAGGTCTTTGATAAGTGAAGGCCATAATCAATTTGGTTATCAATTTGGTCTACTTGAAGGTCCACAGGATTGTTGTGTCTAAGTATAAAGACAATGCATTATAAGTAACAAAGCTATGACCAATTATAACAAAAATCAAGCCACATTCAAACATTTGACCTTAAATGTCAAGGTCATTTATGAGTAAAGGTCAAGTTCAGGGTGGTCTACTTGAAGGTCTTTTCTAAAGGAATGAGCTATCCAAGAATGATCTAAGATCTTACCTTTTATGATTTTCACAAGAAGATTTTTAAGATTCTACTATATACATGTATATAAGGAAAATCAATGACCCCCTGGGGCAGAGCCAATTTTGACCCTAGGACATTTTTTATTTTAATAAACTTGGTAGGCATCCACTAGAAGATGTTTCATGCCAAATATCTATTCTATAGTGCTTTTGGATTGTTACAAGAAGATTTTTAAAGATTTTTTGTAAAAAAAATTATTTTGGTTGCCCTGGCTAACAGAGTTCTTTATGGAATCTTATTATTTGAACAACTTTGGCAGAGCTTCATGCAAGGAACAACTCTGCAAAGTTTCAACAAATTTGGCCTAGTGGATTAGGAGAAGAAGTTGTTTAAAGAAATTGTTGACGCACAGACACGGACGATGGACGACGGACAATAGGCCATGACAAAAGCTCACCTTGAGGACACTGTCCTCAGATGAGCTAAAATATCAAGAAAACTCAGCATTTGACCTTAAAGGTCAATGTCCTTTATCAGTCAATGTCAAGTTCAGGCTGGTCTTCTCCAAGGTATTGTCCAAAGGATTAATGTGAACAAGTATGAATACAATCCATTAAGAATGGAAAAATAATGGCCAACATTAAAGTTTCCGGATAGCAAGAACAACATGATTGTGGCAATTTTGAAAAAAGCAATAAAAAATGGTTGTGGTTGCAAAATGAAAACTATAAGGGGTTTTGTCACAAAAGCATATGTCTCCCAAAACTATGCACAGGGCGTCCACTCATTTCCCATCACAAAAAAATATTTGAATGCCATCAAAATATAGGATTTTTCGTGGCCAAAATATAGGAAAATATAGGAATAGAAATAATAAGCCAAAGTAGGTTTATCCTCTTCCTCCACTCACCTACAGTAAGTACAAAACTGTTTGTTATATTTTAAAACTAAACAGTGTTTAACTTTCACATCATGAAACAAAACTGCAGCAAATAAAATTAACAATGCTTGAAGTACGAAAAAAGAATTGCTTTGCAAAAATACTAGTGACTTGTATGGAAGAGATAACATGAAGTACTTCTTGTACATAGCAATACAAAATGTTGCAGGCTTTCAAAAACTTACATCCTTACATGCAAGTGAAAACTCCCTTTAAAATGATATGCAATACAAGTTTCAAAAATTTTGAATACTTTGAATGGTGCCCCAAAAATAATCCAAGTAAAATAAGCATTAATCATGTCTATTTATCAAAATAATGATGACCTATTTAGACATAAATTTATTTTTTAAAACTGTTCTTAAATATTGTTCAACAATAGAATAGAGAAAAACTGAAGCCCTAAAGAAAGCCCAACACGGCAAAATTGAAAATGTTGCAGGCTCGGTTTGATTGAGCCTGTTCATGGACGGTACTGGAAAGTGCAAGTTACCGTCCACGCCCCCTAGCACCAGCTTAAGGAGAATTCAACATTTACACGAACGGGTACAATTTGGAATTTTGAATCATTTTAAAATAATGAGTTTATTAAAATCAATGATATACAAAAAGTTTGCTGCTGAGAAAGAAGTTGAACCATTTTCAACATATTACTTTGAAGGTACACAAAACTATATTTCACTTCAGGTATAGAACTTTTTTTTTTACTTGACTAGTTCCTTTCTCTTGGCTTTGTTTTTTACAAAACTAGAGGAGGCACTTTGTTTTTTGAGGTGGAGACAGAAAAACTGGTCATCAGTTTTTCTTTTTGTTTCTTTCAAGTGTCTTTAACAACATCTTTCTTTTTCCATTTTCTACCTGTTTTTTGCTATTGCTATTCCCTATATATATATATAGGAATGGAGAAAATAATATATACTGATAATAAAGAGGTGTTCCGAATCCATTTATTAAATTTATTCCTTAGAAATGCTACCGTCCTTTCTTACCTGTACGAACTATTTCCAAAAATATAGGAATTTATAGGAATTTTGACCAATTATAGGAAAATATAGGAAATTATAGCACAATTGTCACAATATAGGAATATATAGGAAAATATAGAAGAGTGGACGCCGTGTATGAATGGTCACTTATGTGATGTTTAATTGAAATCCCGCCAGTAGTCGACCTGTAAAAGCCAGACAAGATTTTTCTATTTATAACTCTAACGGCCATTTTGTGCAGCGAAGCGAAAAATGCAGGTGATGTGCACAACTAGGGATTGTACTGAACACTCCAATATAGTTTGGTTGAAATCCCACCAGTTGTTTGACCTGTGAAGGCTGAACAAGATTTTTCTATGCCATTTTGTGCAGGGAAGTGACATGTGCAGGTGATGTGCAAAACTGATCACTCCTGTAAAGTTTGGTTGAAATCCCACCAGTAGTTTGACCTGTGAAGGCCAGACAAGATTTTTCTATTTTTAGCTCTGGTGGCCATTTTGTGCAGCAAAGCAGAACATGCCAGTGATGTGCACAAGTAGGGATGGTACTCATCACTCCTGTAAAGTTCGGTTGAAATCCCACCAGTAGTTGGACCCGTTTAAGCCAGACAAAATTTTTCTTTTTTTAGCTCTGGTGGCCATTTTGTGCAGAAAAGAAGAACATGCAGTGATGTGCACAACTAGGGAAGGTACTGATCACTCCTGTAAAGTTTGGTTGAAATCTCACCAGTAGTTTGACCTGTGAAGGCCAGACAAGATTTTTCTTTTTTTAGCTCTGGTGGCCATTTTGTGCAGAAAAGAAGAACATGATTTCAGTGATGTGCACAACTAGGGAAGGTACTGATCACTCCTGTAAAGTTTGGCTGAAATCCCACCAGTTTACCTGCAAAGGTCGGACAAGATTTTTCTATTTTCAGCTCTGGTGGCAATTTTGTGCAGCGAAGCAGAACGTGCCGGTAAAATCCCACTGGTAGTTTGACCTGTAGGGGGCGGAAAAGCTTAATGCGGATGGATGGACGAACTGACATCCGGGCGGAAGTACAGACAGACAGAAAGATGGCGAAGGCAAAAACAATGTCTCCAAAACATTTTCGGAGACATAGTAAACTATTCCATAAACTAATGTAAACAGAATGGATTCAAATTACTGTCAAAGTTATAATATAATAAATTTTGCTGTGTGTGATATTTTAAATTTGTAGTTTTCCATGTAAGAAGACATTTACTAAAACATCTAAAAAAGCACATTAAATACTATGTATTCTGTCAGGAAAATTTTAAGTAAATTTATCAACAAGAGTAGAACTTAGTAGTTCTTTTTTGTTATGTAGACTGTTCAAATAATACTATCAAAACTATACTATATAAACAAGAGGGCCATGATGGCCCTGAAGTTAATCGCCTGTATATAGGCCCCGTGGCAGGGCCAATTTTAACCCAGGGGCTCTTATTTGAACAAACTTGGTAGACACCCATTAGAAGATGTTTCATGATAAGTATCTAAGCTCTAGCTTTTTAGGGTTTTTAAAAGAAGATTTTTAAAGTTTTTACTGTACACAAAAAAAAGGGAAAAACAATAACCCTCACCCCCCTGAGCGGGGCTAATTTTGACTTCAGGGCTTTTATTTTAACAAACTTGGTAGACACTCACTAGAAGATATTTCATGCTTAGTATCTTAACTCTAGCACTTTAATTTTTTTTAAAAGAAGATTTTTAAAGTTTTCATGTATATTCAAATAAGGAAAACAATGACCCCCCCAGGCGGGCCCCAATTTTGACCCTGGGGCTTTTATTTGAAAATAACTTGGTATACACAGACTAGGCGATATTTCATGCCAAATATTTTAGGTCCAGCTTTTTCGGTTTGCATGGAATTAAATTCTTTGAACAAATTTGAAAGTTGACAACCACAGCAACATACCTGTGGAGTTTAGATGAAATAAACTCAGCGGTTTATGAAAACATGTTGTCTAAAGAAAAAGTTTACGGATGGACAGATGATGGACGGATAACGGACCGACGGACACCAGACGAAAAGCGACCATGTTACTTGTGACAGGTGAGCTAAAAATTCACGAACGTATCTTACCATATGTTGTTTTGATGACCGATAGCCCTGCAGACAGATCAGAACCACCTAGTGGCTGTTCTCCAGTACCACCTTGTTGCTGTTCTCCAGTACCACTTTGTGGCTGTCCTCCAGTACCACCTAGTGTCTGTTCTCCAGTACCAACTTGTGGCTGTTCTCCAGTATCACTTTGTGGCTGTTCTCCAGTACCACCTTGTGGCTGTCCTCCAGTATAACTTTGTGTCTGTTCTCCAGTACCACCTTGTGGCTGTCCTCCAGTTCCACCTTGTGGCTGTCCTCCAGTACCACCTTGTGGCTGTCCCCCAGTACCACCTAGTGTCTGTTCTGCAGTACCAACTTGTGGCTGTTCTCCAGTATCACTTTGTGGCTGTTCTCCAGTACCACCTTGTGGCTGTCCTCCAGTTCCACCTTGTGGCTGTTCTCCAATACCACCTAGTGTCTGTCCTCCAGTACCACCTTGTGGCTGTCCTCCATTACCACCTTGTGGCTGTCCTTCAGTACCAACTTGTGGCTGTCCTACAGTATCACCTTGTGGCTGTTCTCCAGTACCACCTTGTGGCTGTCTTCCAGTACCACCTAGCGGCTGTTCTCCAGTACCACCTTGTTGCTGTTCTCCAGTACCACCTTGTGGCTGACCTCCAGTACCACCTAGTGTCTGTTCTCCAGTACCACCTTGTGGCTGTCCTCCAGTACCACCTAGTGTCTGTTCTCCAGTACCACCTTGTGGCTTTCCTCCAGTACCAACTTGTGGCTGCTCTTCAGTACCACCTTGTGGCTGTCCTCCAGTACCACCTTGTGGCTGTCCTCCAGTACCACCTAGTGTCTGTTCTCCAGTACCACCTTGTGGCTGTCCTCCAGTACCAACTTGTGGCTGTTCTCTAGTACCACCTTGTGGCTGTTTTCCAGTACCACCTTGTGGCTGTCTTTCAGTACCAACTTGTGGCTGTCCTCGAGTAATACCATTCGCATTTTGATTCCCTCCAACATTTCCTGCATCAGTAGTCTTTATTTCAGGTTTGCTTTGGCTTTCAGGATTAAACTTGTTATCTAATGATGACGGGTTGTTAACAGCATCACCTATTATAGGTAACTCGTTTGCCAGTGAATTGACTCTACCACCTGTAAAAGAAAGTCCTGATCAAATTTGTTGATGTTCCTTAACAGTTGCATAAAAGAGAAACAGCCACAAAAGTTGCATGAAGTAGAAATGGTAAATCTAAGGAATAACTATATGAAGCAAAAAAAGAGAACAATGCTACAAAACCAGATTTTCTCCATAATCGCCATTGTAGAAAGTTTGTTCTAGTTAGAATACAAGCAATATACAATGTTACTAAGTGTGATGTCAGAGATAATGTTACAAAAAAGGTTTACCCATTCATTCCGTTATGGACAGAAATATTGCCAAACAAAATGTAAACACAGTGATATATTTTAACAAAGCCATGAAGTTTGATTTTTGTGAAAAATATAGGTTGGCATGTCAGAACTATGTGATGAAGTTAAAAACTACTCAACTTACCAAATAAAAATTTATTAAACATATTTAAATGCAAGCTCTTGACCGGGAACCCAGTGACCTAAGGAATGTCCCTTCTAATTATGAGACATCATTAAAAAAATAGATTTATAAAGTCACCTTTACCTTGAGACTCCTAATATTGGACCATCCAAGGTATCTTCCTTCCAAATAAAAAAACATCAGTCTTTAAATAAAGCCTGTATAAGCAAAAATTTAGAAAACCATACTTGGCACCTCCGACCATGACCCACTGAACCCTTAATGACCAAAGGAAAAAAACCATGCAAGATATCTTCATACCAATTATGAAAGACATCTGTTGATAAAGGCTATAGGGGCAAAAGTGTAAAAATCCACATTTAGCACTGGTGATCTTATCCCAAATGACCCGTACCTCAATCTAAAGGAAGGTGACCATGCAAGTTATCATCTTCACAAATATGAAAAATATAAATAAACAAGAACTGTCGTTGGAAACAGACAAACCTAGCAGGGCCAAGGAGGCGAACCATGAACTTGACTTGACTTACATCAAAGGTACGACTATTGTAAAGAGTGTGTATAAGTAATAAACAAACATTAACAAATATCTCCTCATATTTCCTATTAAATGAGCCACGGAAGTATGCCATTCTTTTCAAAATCCATTCATGTATGGCAGAATTGATTGATTGGATATAACCATCAATGTTCTGTTATGAAACTATAAACCATAAAATCCTAGGGTGACCTTGATCGTTAAACCTTAAAACGCATCACAAACTGTTTTAAAGAACCATATCTTTAAACCAAGGTACTACAAAATCTGTCACTGAATGACAAAAAACATGGACTGGGCATGACTATCAATGCACTGACTGTCATATCATGACTTCTGACATTCAAATATGAACATGACCTTTGGGCTGCTGAGCTGAACTTTGCTCATTACATATCTTAATAAGCAGCATATTTATCCACAATTATTTCAAATTTCATCCATGAATGACAAAGCTATGCACAAAAAGGCAATCTATTAAAAAATCTTCAAGTCTGATAAACAAGTGTGACCTTGTCCTTTGAACTGGACAATGGGAATAAAAAAGCCTGAATAAGCAAATGTGTAGAAATCTTTAACTGGCACCCTTGATCTAGAGATCTAGAAGACTTCAAACTTTTATGTTCCTACTGATTATAAAAGACTTCAGTCAATAGAATGAGGTAACACATGTAATAGGTAAAAAAAAACTTTTTTTGACATTGGTGACCTTGACCTAATGACCCTTAACTAAACCAAAGTAAAGAGGACCTCCCTAGGCATGTCCAAATTAAACATGAATGCATAAATTTTAAAATAAAAGCTGTATGACCAAATATATTAAAATTTATTTTTTACACAAATGACCTTGAGTCACAGTAACCCCTTACTCCTCAAAATGTTAACAGGACCATTGAGGATATCCATCCACCAAATCATTAAATGAAGTAATTAGGAGAACTTTAATATATACATCTTGCAGGAATAAGTTAACCATACAAGGTCATATTTTCAAAGTAAAAAACAGGAAAATATTTGAAAAAATGGATGGCATACACAGTTATATAACTTGGCAGTATCATGTACATTGTACTGATTAGTATGTGTAGAAATTATGAAGCTATTAAGAATACGGATAGAACTTAAGATATATCCAACTTGCTGGTTAAGGTTAACCATATCCATTTTCAAAGTGCTGAATAGGGCAATGTCAGACTTGAAAAAAAAAGAGCCATTGTTATGTAACTTGCTAAGATCATGTACTTTGTAAATGTGATTAGTGAATGTGTAATTTATGAAGCCATTGGTACAAGTAGAACTTAAGATAAATCCGACTTGCAGTTTTAGGTTAACTCTCTACAGACAGACAGATGGAGGTTTTAACTGGCTAAAAAGTACATTTAACTATTGTTTCTGTAGCCACCAAAATTCCAAAATGTAAGCACATTCAACAGATGGATGTATGGTTTAATAATTTTAATGCCCCGGGACATAACATCAGTATTGTATACAACACATTGCATTCTTTAACAATGGTGATCATGTTTACTACTTTTTTCATGCATGCAAACCTGCTACACATCATCTATGATCTATTTACATAACAGGCGGTCTTATGTACCAATTTATTTTGAAACCCCATAATGCTTGGAGAAGTTATGGCCCAGACACCAACACTTTAGACTATATGAAAAATACACCAAATGCAATACTCTGCTGTGACCTTGACTTATGAGCATAACACCTGGTGCATGCTCCTGACAAATCTTCCACTTATGGTGTGCCAATTCAGTCTGAAATCTCATCATGTATACAGACGTTAAGACTCAGATACAAAGAAAATGTATATACACACTTTTTTCCAGGATTTTTGGAAAATGACCCTTACCCATGGAAATGGGAACTTCAGCCATGTTTTGTGAAAATTGGGGAAAATGCATGACAAAAAGTATGCAGTGATTAAATGAATGCAAAGACAGACTAGGATGGTATAATCGAACATTTAAGCACCGTAACAATGAAAAAGCCCTTATTTTCAAAGATTTTAGAATTTTAAATTCAGTATCTTTATTTTGTATCTTTCATATGTGAATATTTTCTGTGGATTTGGAAAACAAATATTGTTTTCAAATGGGAATGTGACTGAATATCGGCTGTAAAATAAGCCCAAAAAATCCCTAGATTGGTTCTTGTGGTCATTCAGACAAAATAATGATTTAAGCCATTTTATTCCTATAGACTGAGATAAGGAGTAAATGTCAACATAATACATGTAAGCCTTCTAATATGTTTTACATTAGTGGCCATCATTCTGTTCATTGGTTGGAAATTATTTTTAAAAGCTATTTTAGAAAAGTTCAACCACAAACTCCTATGACAAAATTTACAGAATAACAAAACAAAAAATCTCATTTCCTTTGACTTACTATAATAAATTTGTAACTTAGGGACCTAGAAATATTATGTATTTCATTTTTCAAGCCTTACCTGCTAAATTCTGGTAAGTTTCAATACCCAGATAGATCAATTTACATATGGCCAAATGTGTATTACAAAGTTGAGGACAGTCCAGCTGAAGTTGTGTAAATTCTTGTGATGTACTGAAGGCAGCAAAAGTTGACATTCTTGAGCATGGGTCCCAGTTGGCAGTTACATTTTCAGTCACCTGTCTTGCATGAAATGTTGCTTTCACTCTATTTTTGACAAATTTTACTGCAACTTCAGCCATGACTTTACACAGTTGTATTAAACCTGTATCTTGAGATGGAGTGGCACAGTCCATTAACAGATCGTTGTTGTGCAATGCTCCAATTGGTGGATATGGATATAAGAAACCTAGCTCTCTAGAGTGTACAAAAACATCCAGGTGTGTGTAGTCTTGTGCTTCTGCAATGACAATTAATCACCTTTAAATTAATCACCTTTTAATTAATCACCTTTAAATTATGATGTTACAAAAAAAAATCTGCATTCCAACTGTACATTTTGTAAGGTCTCAAATTTCTATATAATTGTTTAATGGAAATCAGATTTATGAAAGTACATTTTTATGATCAAACATAATTATCCAAGGCTTTCATATTCATATCCAATAAAGTGATAACACTGTTCAACTAAATGGAAAAAACATTTATTCATAAAATGTAAAAATATACATGTATGCCCAAATACACTGTATACAATTATATGGAACATCTTCAAAATAAATATTAACAATATATAAACAAATTTGGGTAAAAGTCCAAAAGAAAATGCTTCAAACCATCTGTCTATTATCTAGGCAATGGGGTTTCGGGTTTGGGAGAAGAATATTTTTAAAACTTAACCTTGTATGACTCTTTAAAATCAAATGACATTGGGATGGAACCAATTTTGACCCCAGGATTGCCATTTGAACAAACTTACTAGTGGTTTACAATGAAATGCTGCACAAAATATATCTAAGCAGGAACAAGACACTTCGGCCCCCAGACGCTTTATCCCTCACCTCAAATTTTGAAGACACTTCATCCTTCAAGACACCAATAAACCCCTGAGGTGTGAACAGTCTGTAAATCATCTAAGATATAGGCATTGCATTTATAGATGAGACAATTTTTTATGGATTTTTTGTAGGATACTACATGTATGTAAAATCAAGTGGGCCCCTAGGTACATGTAGGCCAATTCTGACTCCAATGTCATGATAAATAAGAAGTTGTTAAAGCTCTTATAAACAATGCTTCACACAAGATGTCAGAACTCGACGCATATAAGTTTTGGGGATGAAATTTTTCTAAGATTTTCCTTAAAAAAAACCTTGTGTTCCCAAATACGAACCATTTGACCCCATGATTTGATTGTTGTGGTTATGATCTGAACATACTTAATAGAGGTCCGCTTTATACTGTTACATACCATGTAAACTTTAGGCTGACAAGATTTGTTAAGGCGTTTCCTAAGGACCCAGAAACGTGGGTTTTAAATGCATCCTTGTGCGTATGTACATGCACAAAATTGGGTAAATAAACCCTCTAAATTTTAACTTTCCTATACACTAAATAGTTATATGCATAAATATTTGTTCTTTCTATAGTATTGCTTTTAGTTTTTTTTACATTTTGGTTAGATCATATAACTGTTAAACATAAGATTTATTGCATAATTCTACACATTTTTTTAGTCATATAACATTAGAAAACACCCTTATTTTCTATACTAGGACCATGATTTATTTAACTTTTGCAATTCAAAATACCAAATATCTAAGTTCTATAGGCATTGTAGATTCACAAAAGAACGCCTTTGTTTCCCTGTAAGTCTATAACTGAGGCTCAAAATCTGATAGTATTACACCAACCAATCGCAACAGTGCCTACGTTACGGAGACCGCCAGCATAAAAATGTAAACAAACGAAGAAATAAACATTTAAAATACATAAACATCAATAAAACTGATTTATTTTTCTTAAATAACATTAATAACGGATAACCATATTAAAAAGTATCAATAAAATAAAGTTAAAATATTGTGCATGTTCTTAACTTCTACTATACATAAATCACATTCATTTTTGAGCTTGGTTGATTCAAACTATCCTTAATTCTTGTCTTATTAAAAAATATATAATTCATTTGAAAATTTTGCAATGTATATAATGTCATGCATGTGCATTTATTATAATTTATATTTTTAAAACAAGACCTGTCTGCTGAGAGCATGCTCCATTTGTCTAAGTGACAGATAGTTGAACATAGAAATTATAAGGGCGCATAATTCAGCGAGCGTGCTTAGCAGAAAAATATCTGCTCTTAGAAATCAACAAAAATATTAAAGTTTTTGAGAAAAATGCAAATATTCAAAGTCAAAAAAGAGAAATAACAAGAATTTGTAACAGAGTTACCAACGCCCCCGCATTGGGAAGTTTTATATGAAGCATAAAACTGTGTTATTTCAAAAGATTGAGGTATTGATCTCAGCGACATTCAGTCCAAAATTATGATCAGTGCTAGATCTGCAAATGCAACAATAAATTTGTTAAAAAAATAAAATGAAACACGAAATTTAAAAATCTATCATGTATAGCTTTGACCTCTAAGTGTGACCTTGACCTTGGAGGTAGGGGAGCAGGTGTTATGCATGACATAACGTCTTATTATTGAGACTATTTGTGCCAAGTATTTTCAAAATCCCTTGAACTATGAAGAAGTTATAGATTGGACACAAAATATACCCTATAACAGACTATGTAAATCTTTGACCTCTTAGTGTGACCTTGACCTTGGAGGTAGAGACACAGATGCTACACATGACATATCATCTAATCATTTCATTTGTGCCAAGTATTTTCAAAATCCCTTAATCTATGAAGAAGTAACGGACGGGACACAAAATATATAAAATAACAGACTCTGTTAACCTTTGACCTCTAAGTGTGACCTTGACCTTGGAGGTAGGGGTGCAGGTGTTGTCTTTGACATATCGTGTTATTATTGTGACTATTTGTGCCAAGTGTGACCTTGACCTTGGAGTTAGGTGACCGGTTTTTGCGCATGACACATTGTCTAATTATTGTGAACAATTATGGCAAGTATTTACAAAATTCCTTCATAGATAAGACAGTTAAAGGCCGGACACGACATATACCCTCAAATAGACAATGTTGACCTTGAACGAGCAAGTGCGACCTTGACCCTAGAGGTAGGGGTCTGGATGTTGCGCATCACACATCGTCTTATTATAATAAACATTTGTACCAAGTTATTTCAAATTCCTTTCATAAATGAAAAAGTTATGGACCGGACACGAAAGTGTGACGGACGGACGGACAGATGGAAGGACGGACGGAGCCTATTTCTATATCCCCCTTTTTTTCGAAAAGGCAGGGGACAATTAAGCAAAAATTGCTTTCATGATTATCTGCCCCTTAGATATGCATTTCCAATTTGGTTATAAACAAGTACTCCAAGTTTAAAGTGAATATCTTTGATACTTTTTGAAAATGTACCTTAAAAAAAGTTCAACAAGAAATCAAAGGGGGCATAACTGTGAAATTTTTTTTTATAAAGTTACCTGTCCTTAGGAGATGCATTCCATTTTAAAAACTCAACAAGTTATCCAAGTATGAAGTGATTAATTTTGACAGTTTAACTTTTTGAAAAATTGACATCAGAACCAAAATATTAAGAAAACAAGAGGTCATAACTTTTTTATTTTTGGATTATTTTGATTGTGAACATAACTTATGAATAACTTTGACAATTTCTGAGAAAATGGATCTTAACATAAGGTTGACCGGGGCTTAAAACCTAAAATGAAAAAGGGGCATTTCTTTTCATAAAATAAATTCAGGATTATCTGCCCTTTTGAAATGATGTCCTTTAACGACAATAATTATTAACAATTAGGCCAAATTTGCAAACTTAGCAGTTAAGTCAAAAGCTTTTATAAGAAAATGGACCTTAACAAAAAGGATTTTTAACACTGAAGTCCATGCTGATGCCAAAGAGAGCATCATAACACTAGCTCCACTTTTTTCTTCAGAAAGTTGGGTTCGAGCTATAAATAGTTTGATTATTATTTGGAACCAATTTAGTAAGGGTGTAACGGTATACCTTACTCGCGGTATACCGTACTGTCTTCACTCGGTACGGTTCACGGTACGACAAATCACACATACGGTACTGGACGTTACGGCATTATTAACCATTTTCAAGGGGAGTATTTATTTCAGTAAAAATTGCAGAAGATGAATTTAAATCAGGGTCAGTCTCTTTTTAGTCAAAATATAGAAGCATTTTGGAATTAAGGTGAAAAAATAATCGGGAAAATGTCTTCTTTGACTGCTATTTCAATGTGCTGAATTTATTTTTCTGACATTGTTATTTTTGAAAGAACTGACCATCAGCTGAAACTGCCTTTTTGGAAACACTTTTTGGCAAGCTGAAATTCATTAATAGATGATAATATAATATCTTGACACATTCGCAAATAAACCCTACATTGTTGATCAAAACACTGCAATAGACCGCTAGTTGTGTAGAGTTATGGCTACGCTATTTTGTTGGATATTTTCCATACCTTCCATATTGTCAACAGATATATGTAACTGTTAGTTAATACGTTATAACCGTTATGAATGTGTTATATGTGAGTAAAGTAAAATAATTTTTTTGGTCAGCTTATGCTCATTATTACACGTAGTCCGAAAATTGTCTCATCCGGTACATCTAACTGTTGAACATTTTAAATTTTTATATTAAACTTGAGTAATTTATCCAAAATAGTTATCAACTTACATATGACAATACAAATGTGATGTTTCTATCACCTGTGCTTCTATATTGAATGATATTATTTATTGTAGGTATTTTACTTCTCAAAGCTTCAGAAAATATTATAGCTTTTAGCCTTTTACTTTAACTATCAAAATGTCAATAGGAAACATAATGTTGTTACATCACAACTTTAAATTAATCTTGCATAATACATCTGTGTGAAAATATAAAGTTTAAATGGATTACAGACAATTTTCTTTAGTCAACCTGTATCGTGATACGTATCGTATCATGGACTCTGTACCGTGATATGTTTCGTATCGTGAGGCGAGACAGAGTATCGTTACACCCTTACAATTTAGTATTTTTGTCACTTTCAAGAATAGGGTTCTGGTTTGTCAATTTCATCTCTCGATAATATTCAATATAAAAAGTTTCCATTTGTTGATTCTTAGTTTCTACAATGTGAATATACAGTATGTATAAGTTTTAAAATGTGTCAAGTTTCATTAACAACAAAAGGAAAACTGTGACCATGATCTAGCATTGATACTTTTGTTTAGCTTAATATGGTAGGCATTCTTTTCATTCGACCATCTTTCAAATTTTTTCTTCAAACTTTAAGTAAT